GGGGGGGGGGGGGGCAACTGTTAACAAGAGCACAACTGTTAACAAGAGCACAACTGTTAACAAGAGCACAACACCAGCACTCACATCTGTTGGCCCCTGTTGATGGAGTGTTCGTCAATCTCTCTGTCGTACGGAGTGCGTAGGTCATCGAGCGCCCCATCCTCTCCGAACGCTCCCCACTCCATGTTGACCACCACCTGGTTGGGCTCTCCCCGCTCTCCCTCCCAGATCTCCACGTTGTCCAGTTTCTCCATGTAGCAGGCATTACTGCCAGTACCTGGGCATGGGCAAAACATAATAACCTCAGCCATTTCAGAGTTTGAAGCCTATTTCTCAAAACATTGGTTGTCATGAAGAACTTTTGTTGAAAACATTACTTCATTCAACTGCATCACTCATCAGTCCATTTCATAATTTTTATCTGAGTGACAAACCTTAAGAGGTTGCAATCATTTCAGATCATATTCTTAAAATCTTACGTGATATCCCAACTATGCAAAACATATGCTGTTGTCAAAAAGTCCATGTCCAGTCCCTTAGCAAAGAAACACCAACTCACCCACAATGAGCCCTATGAGACAGTCATGGTCGGCCAGTCCACATGCCATCATGGTCCCCACTGTGTCATTCACCACAGCAACTACATCTGTGTCAAAATCCTGCAATTAAAAATAACCATATCTGATTCTGCTAAATCTGATTTCTTCGTAATTACAGTTCAAGCTACATTTCATGTAATAGATTTAATGTGCCTTTCAACAAATACATGTACCGGTATGTCAGCTGCCCCCTAGCAGCAATCCCAATCACTGCACTTCTGACCACTCTTCAGCATGTTAACAACTCACCCCACGCCTCTTGATGGCATCCCGGAGCAGACGCACCACGTCTTCCCCCTCCACGCCCGCAGCGCTGAAGCCTTTGGTCCACTTGATCAGGGAGGCACAGTCCAGCCCCCGTTGTTTACAGGGGAAGGAGAAGGTGAACCCAAGTGCCATCTTCTTCTCCTTCATCCCGATCTTCTCCAAGAACTTAGCCATGCAGTCAGCTATGTAGTCAAAGAGCTGGATAGGTGGCAAAGGAAAGTAGGAAATGTTTGATGACCTTTAGCATACTGAAGAAGCCATTTGTCTACCAATTCTCTACTGGTAACAGCATTAGGTAGCAGGGGGAACTTCAAGGTTAACTTGAAAACATAGCTCCCTACTTGACGGTAACCTATAACCTGAGGCACTCAGCTTTTAATTGTCTTCGTCAGAAGGACTATGAAATTGTCTCGCCGGAGTGTGGGGAACTGCGGATTTTGCGATATAACTCTGGAAGGCATGATTCGACGTCCATGATTTTTGGCAGGCAGATTACCATTGTTGAGGCCAAATTCAAGTACAAGTTTTGGCTTCGTGGGGGGTCCGTGCGTCACGTTAGTGCACCTTTTGTGTTTGTGGCTTGTTAGCAAAATAACTCAAGTATTTGTAAAATGTTGATTATAATTCTTGGTGTGGTGCTAACTATTGTCTGGACCAAGGTTAAGTTCGTTACTGAGCTTCGTGGGGGGTTTCGTTGTGACTACAGGGGGCATTTTGTTAATTTTTCTTGTGAGCAGGATAACTTTTGTATGTGTGGATGGAAGTTAATGAAATTTGATAGGCATGTTACTGTGGTGATTGAGTTCAAAGATGAGAGTCGTGGAGATCGTTATGTCCCCGTAATAGGACCTTTTGTGTTTAGAAATCCCCCACCTACATCTGCTTGGAGACAGCCGACAGCTGGATATAGCCGTTACCGCCGGGGAACCCCATAATGGGATGGGATCAAATGACGTTACATTGAGGGATTGTACTATAACTTCAGCAGGGGGAGGATAGGTTGGACATATGTCAGATTATTTTCTACGGCCACACCAAGTAATTGCTATGGATGACGTCCACTGGAGACCTTAAATCTAATTACCTTAAATTTAAGGCAAGCGCGCAATAAAAACACGAATGGCCGAAAAACGAGATGCCTAGATTTGGAATATACTAACTGTAGAAGTACAAATGTTAGGACACAAAGAACACAAGAAACAAGTCTTCTATTTGTCATAAAGACAAATTAACAAAACAGCAGTAGTCACCCTGTTCTGATTCTTTCCTTTATAACATCTTCTCTTATTATATTTTGCGGCGCTGTCGTGACACTTTCAACACAGTAAGAATTTCTTGTAACGTTTTTTTTCCAGTAACAGTCCAAACTCAAATAACGTTAGGGGGGGGGCTAACACGGGTGACGACGCATCTGTATAATCTGTGGCAAACCGTTTCAGGGTGTTCTGTACCATAAAAATAGTACAGAGATTCTTTTGTTCTTTAGACCAAATTGATTATTAAAAAGAGTGAAGAATACGCATGTTAATTTCTCTAGAACGATGTACCTCTGACGAAGACATGAGATCTCCGACCTCTAGTTTATTCAATGGAAATTATTGCAAGATATAAATGATTGTAAACTTGTGTGGTTACCTGCTCTCCGGAGCCAGTCATGATGCTTTCTGGAATGGCGTAGGAGTCGCTCTGTAGACGAACGTCTTTGGCCCCCTTCTCAATGTGGACATGCAGCACACGGAAGTTACTTCCACCAAGATCCAGGGCGAGGAAATCTCCTGATTCTGGGTGGGAATGAGACATCATGGTTATCCTTCAGGACTCTATTAGTTGAAATCTAGTACATGTACCAACAAGAAGTCAGAGATTTCACACCTCCAGTAAGTATGCAATCCTCGGCTTCCTGAATTCCCCCAATGTCGACCTCTCCATATTGCTGCTGGCTCCTGGCCAGATTCTAAGAACTGCCATTTTGTCTGTCAATCTTCCCCCACCCATGTGCTGTCAACCTACTCTGTCTGGACAGATACACAAACCCACTGCTCATCCACCAAAAATAATTACTTAATTCGTAACCAGTAACCCTGTCCAAGTGAATATATAACATTGCATTAAACTTAATACATGTGTATGACCTTCAGAAAATGTGCTTACCTGTCCCATCCGGTACAGCCCGTACATACGTAGCCAGCATTTTGACAGTAGCGTCTGGGTTGGTTTCCTTTTTCAGCCCCTTCTCCATCTCCTTGTGGAGCCTTCCCAAGATGTCTTGCAGGGTGTCATTGTCGTACCGGAATGGTCTGAGGATCAGGTCAATCTGAGGGGACAGCAGGGTCTATAAGGTTAGAAGGCAGATTCATACTTCATATGGAAGTTGAAGTACATGGGGTTTAAAATGTAGATCTTAAAGGTACAACATTCTGATGATCATGTGAGCATGAACTCAACAACATTTTTTATTAATACATGTACGTTTAAATTGCACATTTCTAACATGTATACATAAGGAAATAAAAACATACATGTAATACATAACATTACAACACATTTACACGCAGCCTGTAACAATGTGTATAAATGTGTTGTAATGTTAGTACAGTACAGGGGCCATTCCCACTGGCTGTTTGGCCAGGGGTGTCTCATCAACTCAAGGAGGTTATATATGACTCCCTATATATAACCTCCTAGAACAATTCAACAATCATTTGCATTACCAGACAAAGGCCCCAGCCAGACTGACCCCAGCTGTGCCTCCTGCAGCCTAGTGACAGAGAAATGGGACTTTCTCTGGCCATAGACTTTGGCATGACACGCCCCCTAACCTAAGGTCAGCCTATTTGCAGCACCACCCTTACCTACATTGTAGACAGCTTAACAAACAAAGATAAATGTGATTAAAGACAGAAAAATGATGACTTCATTGTTCGCTGAAGGTTAGTTTGTTTGTAACCCTGAAGCCCAAGACAATGTACAATTTCGCATCAAATCTAAAAACATAAACTGAGTATGTTTTTGGAACTGATGTCCATTTGTCCAGTTATATAATTTTTGCCTAGGCTATTCAAATAATAGCTGTAGAGGTGTGTACGGTTTAATCTTTAACATGGCTTAAAAAGACGTGGTGTTTAAAGACCACACAAATCAGTTTGATATTCAGTACCATAAATAAGAAGAACTTTATTGCATGACGATTGCACATGGTACAATGTATGGCAAACTACATAAAGAGAGAGTAACAACAATAAAATAAGTGTGTTGCATAAGACCTACAATGTAATGTCGAATAAAACCTAACATATCTATATCATAATCATTCAAATAATAAGGGATATAAATATGTTAACATACTGAAAGCTCCATCAGCATAGAACAAATTTTAGCATTAGTTCCACAAGTAGCTTTATAATTCAACTATCAAAAAAAACTTTAATGGCTTCCCAGTACCACAAATACACCTGTAGCTAGGTTCAAAACAATGTGTTAGAACAAAACAATGGTTCATTTACAATTAATACAAACTCACAATCAGGATGTCAGTCTATCCTTGTAACTTACATTGTACGTATGATAGGTGTGATTCCCAAAATCTTACAGTATTTTAAAAGTATTGCAACTCTCTATGTTTGATTGATTCAAAGTCATGACCAGCTAATCATGGAAATCCCATTCTCACTTGCTTTGTGCTTGAACTTTGAACATTGGTTTAAGATCAGCTCACTGATATTAAAGAAATGCAGCATAGGCGGGACGGACAATTTCTAAATCTTTGGTAGTAGATTAGTTCTATTAACACATGAAGTTGTTCTGCCCATCTTCTAGTTGAATTTGAAGTCACATTTGTCTTACATGTTACATGCCCCAATAAACATTACTAAGTTTTTGAGGGTAAGAGTGAAGCCTCAGGGCAAGGCAAGATTGGCATTGAGCCTTGGTACAACCACAGATCAATTTAATACATTGTACCTGTCCTGTAACTTCCTGATTCGGTCTTAAATTAGTTAAATCTCTGATGGACTTTTTTAATCAAAATTTTGTAGGTCTGCAAATGTCCTATCAAATCATGAGTTGGAAAATATATCATAAGGAAGTAGAAGGGATTATTATGGTTAACACTTCCTTGTCGGTATAATTTGCACCACTCGTCCTGAAGAAGATTCTCCTGTCAGTTTTGTTGTGTTGGTTTGACAACAAAATATTGATCATGCTAAGCTACTACTACCACAGATGGTCTTTTATCTGTCACGATACGGCAAAGTATCGTCATGGTTCTTGCCTTCATGGTTTAGTATCACTCACCAGCCAATAGATATGCGTAAGATATTTTCTTTTATGTGAGAATAAATCATACCACAGTGATCTGCATCACATTTATTACCCCATGTACACCTGCCTGGTCCTTGCCCCTCCCCCTCCACAAATAAGTAGTTTATTTAATAGTACGTGTCAACATACGTGTAGTTAATTGATTTACCAAAACTGGGGAGCAAACCTGCTAAAGCTTTACACACTGACCTTCTCCTCTTTACTCGCCATGGCTGCTAAACGTTACGTAGAGCGAGCAGGAGTACGGTGCGGTGAATAAGAAGGAGCCCCGGTGTCCTGAAAGCTCCAGTGATCAGTGCTGACGATCTCGTGACGCCGCTACACGTGAGGCAGGTAGGCGCGTGCAGTACGGAAGTCTCCCCGCTGGGGCTGGCAGGCAGGCTGGGTCACGCTAACCTGGGAACGAGAAGATCACCAGCACACGCAAAAGAGTGGTTATGTATATTGCAGTTATGATTGCTGCCATCGGCAATTAAATTCAATCATTCAGTTCAATAAATGATAGTTATATTTCCATGCATGCCATTTACTGTAGGGTTTCCGTCTATATTTTTGTAATGGATGCTTTGCTTCATTGAAAGGGGCGTGGCAGCAAAGCAAAGCAAAGTCAACATCAAGGAGGTTAGAAAAAAGGCTTTTGTTAACATTAAGAATAAAGTAGCAGCTAACGTTGCAGATTCTTTTCTTAGACGGCTTAACATCCAACAAGACTAGTTGGCTATGCGTCGCTGTCTGGTAATAAAAGCCCACTAAGACAAAATCACCCCCAGGCCAATGCTCCTGAGACTATTTGGATCCCAAGGCTGTCCTTGGTGCTGAACAACATTCAAACACATAACACACTGCTGGATTTAACATTCAAACCGCGACATGGCTTCTGCCAATGGGAACAACCCTAAACAAACTGTAACTGGTAGACTTTGAGCGCTGTTGAGTCATCTTCTTGCTTTTCTGCGCCGCCGTGGCTATATACACTCCCGGTGTGTATATAAAAGACAAATAGATTTTATATACACTCCGAAATACTAGCCTCCTTGGTAGGCCCAAAACTTGGGTTTTTGTGAGTGTTTGAGGATTCAGGGGCACCAAGTTTAAACCTCGGTCTTCAAGTTTATCTTATTGGATGATGAAAATCAGAAAACAACACGGAAATCTCCACCGAAGTTCGGTCGAGCGGCCCGCCCCGCCCCGCTTGCGCGGGGCCCGGGACCCTCCGCTCCCGGCGGCGGCGGCGAGACCGGTCGCGCGCCCCTGGCGTCCTCGCTACCTGGTTGATCCTGCCAGTAGTCATAGGCTTGTCTCAAAGTTTAAGCCATGCACGTGCAAGTTTAAACTGTCTCAGTGAAACTGCGAATGGCTCATTAAATCAGTTATGGTTCCTTTGATCGTCACATCCTACATGGATAACTGTGGTAATTCTAGAGCTAATACATGCGGAAGAAGCGCCGACCTCACGGTCTGGCGTGCATTTATCAGACCAAGACCAACCCGGGGTTCGCCCCGGTCCCTTTGGTGACTCCGGATAACACAGCCGATCGCGCGGTCTTCGCACCGGCGACAGATCATTCGAATGCCCTATCAACTTTCCGGGAGTGTATATAAAAGACAAATAGATCTTATATACACACCGGGAGTGTATATAAAAGACAAATAGATTTTATATACACTCCCGGAGTGTATATAAAAGACAAATAGATTTTATATACACTCCCGGAGTGTATATAAAAGACAAATAGATTTTATATACACTCCGGGAGTGTATATAAAAGACAAATAGATTTTATATACACTCCGGGAGTGTATATAGCCACGTTCTTTCTGCGCTGTCAATTACGGAGATTGAGGCGTTGCCAAAAAGTAGAGCGCTTGACCTCTTGGCAATCTCGTTCCCAGGTTATAAGTCCAAGATGGCGGCGGTTCGTTTGGGCGGAAGTGTCTTTTCTGCTCTCAGTTTTCAACAAGTTTGCAGCCACTCTGATCAGGTAAGAGAGAACATTTGCTTCGGTGTATACACATAAGCTCTCTGCCACCCTAGACGTGTTTTACCTGTGATTAAAGCATGTCTGTGTTCACACACGAAGTTATTGCAACGTCTAACCTGGCATGCACTATGATGCAGCTCAATTCTTCCTCAATCAAAGATAAAGTGTCAAAGTGAATGTAATGGCAGAGCAGTATAAACATCATGCTGCTGGTATGGAACCTGGAACCATGTAGGACTGGGTACCACATGTTGTATGTTAAAGCTGCATTGGGAAATTCGTTTAGCCAAAATTATATTATGCTGATGGACGTGTTGCATAATTATTTGCACTTGGACCATTATGAAGTTGAAGTGATGATCTATTAGGTCAGTTTGTTGAAATTGAAAGCAAAATTCTGCAGTAATCTCAGTGCTGCATCACTTGTAATGTTGCTGGGTAGTTGCCATATCATCAGTATGTGACGCTCATATTTATAAGATTGAAAGGCATATGATTGCTCAAAATTGGTTTATGACTTAGGTATGAAATATAGCAGGGCTTAAACAATAAAGGTTCAATAAATGATAACCAAGATAACTCATGGTAAGCTAGAAATGACCTCACCTCTCACATGTTTGCAATCAGTATCTCATTAAAGTTTCATATGGTGTGGGCAGCCACTGACAGTATTATCTATGCAAATCTACACCAGCTGTCAAATGATTCACCACCCGCTGTGATCAGATGTATCATGATCTGCTGATGAGTTGCAATTGTTGTTTCCACAATTCCTGAGAAGTGCAGTGATTTAATCAACACCCTTATGTGATTTAATTATCTTGCTATATTTCTCCCCAGGTGGGCTTGCTGTTTGGTGAGGTCAGTGTACGGGTTAAGGACTCCATTAGTGACTCACAGATCAACTCCAAGACAACAGAGAAAACCATCTGTGAGTCAAACTTCCCAAGTACATAGGCAACAGAATATGATGGTTCATTCTAGCGGTGGACTGGCATTGATATGTGCTAGGAAAGGGACCAGTCATAGTTAAGAGGAAAAACTGTACAGTTTTCCCAGACATTGCTCTCCCTTGACAAGAACTAGAATATAACAGTCATCAAGAACATATCACAGATTTAGACAGGAGCTAGGCAGATATCACATGCTAAGGGAATGTATAGAAAGTTTCCCACGCATAACATTATATCTTGTTTGATGCACGGGTACCTGAATATTAGACAAAAATGTTGTAAGTGATGAAATTTTTACTCTAAACCTAAATTAATGAACTCCAGTCACACCAGTTTGTGTTCAATCTTCTGCAGGTGTGCTATCTCACCTGCCATGTCACCTACCCCTCAGGTGAGAACTACTGTTCATAATTTTTTTGTTCACAACTATACCGTATATGTCAATGCATAATTTTATTTGATCGATATAACCTCTTTTGTTATAGGAATGTTTACTCAAGCATGTTCATGCTATAAACCTATGAAAGATATTTGAATAATAAGATATTTGAATAATGAAGTCAATTGTAGACTAATGTTTTTGTTCCTTTTGTTCATTACAGTTCCAGTCTGACAACAGAAAGTATCAATAAGGCTATAACTGAAGTGGCTTGCGACAGAGAAAAGGTACACATTATATATGAACAAGTTAAGAAAAAGTTTAAGGTGTCTTATTGCAAAATTGCCTTTTTCACAAAGCTATACAATACCCTAATCATGTTATCCCTCTATCTGATATACAGCACATAGTCGGCTGGTACAGGTTTCGCCGGAACTCTTCACCAGAGCCATCGCTATGGGAACGTATCATTCACAGAAAGCTGTCAGAGACGCTGAAATCCCAGGAAAACATGCTGTTCTGGTTGTTTACTTACCAGTCAAGTGGAACAGTGTCAACCCATGTTACAGACTATACTTTATACCAGCAGAAAGATAGGTGAGAGGGCCATATATCTTATTGATATAGTTTAAGTACAATGTGACTGTAATTTGTATCAAAGACACCACGTGTAATTGGGACAAATGGTATGAGACTATGATAATACTTGGTATCGCAACAGTTGTCAGCAAAAGTCATGTATTTCTGCGTCCCTGTGTCTTTCACCATCTTTACATCTGTACAGACTGCTTGTCTCACATTTTCATCTCTTTTTGTTGATGTATATCGACATCAAATGGCAAGAAAGGAAACCAGAACTCCTGAGCTATTAGGTGTTACCAAAAGTTTATGTTTGCTCTTCATGATATGTTTGATAAGTAAATGTCACTGTTTCTGGCTGTAGGAGATTGCAGGCCATTCCCCACGCTGTGGTGAACCTTGGGGACACGTCACATGATCACTATCGAATGAGCTCGGCAGGAGCACTCAGCACGGATTTAGGCATGCTGGGAGTGTTTAAAAAATACAGGTTTGTCAGTCAGTTAAAATGTTGCTCTTTTATGTGCAAATGTTGTCAAGCAGCTGGACAATTGACAAGGGTTTGGTTTCTTGTCCTGTCAGATTTGTTGATGTCACAGTTTTGTCAATGCATATATATAATAATATTATACAGTTACCATACCTTAGCATATCAAATTTTCACATTGAATCTTAGATAATTATGTGATGCTGTACTATGATGTGTAACATGAAGGTAACATGATTTTTTGTAACTAGGGACCGTCTTGTGGATGGTGAGGGCCAGCTTTGTGAAGTCTCCATCATGAACCAGATGAATTCAGCTCTTCAGGCACAGCTCATGGTAAGATGTTTGAAAACGTCCACTGTACTCTACACCCTTCTCTTAGTTAGGATCTAAACAAAGTGGGAAGTTTTCCTCAGAATATTCTGTACGTAAGGTTTTTACAGCAAGTCTAAGATCTACTGTTGCTATAGTGAGGCAGTTCTTCAGACTAAGAAAAACAAAATAGAAGTTCATAGAAAGCAGTTTTAGATCTGCCACCCATATGTACAGTTTTTCTTTTGCTGTTTTGAGACACTTGTTTTAGGAGCCCTCAGATTGCTGTGTAGATTGTATGAATGTAATACTACCGGTATGTAGAATTCAACATACATTGGGCTGAGGTCTTAAGTTGTCCTTGATTTTGTTCCCCACAGGGTCTATGTGATTCTGTACACCAAGGGGAAAAGGAGGCAAGTGTTCTAGAAGAGGAGGTAGCCCAGTTGCAAAGTGTTTTGAGGGAAGCAATGGAACAAAAAGAACAGCAAGAACCAAGTGTGCTTATCCCAGAAAAGGTTGATATTAGCAAAATAGAACAACATCAAACAGGGGATGTGGCAGGGGATGTGAGGGATATTGCCATGGAAACAGATGAGGACAACAGCCCATTTGCTGTTCAGTTGAGGCAAATAGCAGAGCAAACAAAAGGTGTTACAACGGAAGGCAAGAAAACTCCAAAGATGGACAGGAAGGAGGTTAAGAAGGAGTCCGAACCAAGAACGAGAAGGAAAAGTAGGAAGAGCAGCAGCAGTGAGACAGAGAAGGGGGAAGAGGGGGACCTCTTCAGCAACCTTGTGTCAGAGATGAGGTCAAAGGTACAGACACCCGGTAACCAAAGGCAACACAGCAGGCAGAGAGGCAGTCGACAGATCCAGGAGGAGGAACCCATGGAGTCCAGTATGTCTGAGAACATAGACAGTGGAACAGACGTTGAGACAGAAGACTCCCAGAAGAGCTCACAATCAACCATAAAGAACGAGGACGTACAAGTTGTGTCAAGTGACGATGAGACAGACATGGAGCAAGAACCGTCTAGTTCACCTGTATTTTAAGATTTTGTACAAAAGGTTTTTTAAAAGTATGCATAGACGTAAGTTATACAATATAAGATATCGAGGCTACAGTTAAGATTCAGACTGATTTGGGGGTTTCAGCTGAAGATTTTGTACATACAAGAACATGTTTTATGTTACATCATGGATGTCATGCAGTCGTGCCGAATTGTCCTGAAAATTTAGTGAAGTTAGTCATGGAATATCATGTCAGTGACGTCGAAGGGATCCTGTGCAAAGATATAACATGTGTCACCAAGTCTCTACCTTAAGTAACTACCATTCTGGGAACTATAATAAGGGAATCAATAGAGGTTCAGCCATGAAATAAACAATGAGCATGATGTGAGCCACATTTGGTGCCAATTTGAAATGTGTGCTCTACATAATTTTATAGCATGGTTGTAATAATAAGAGTTATGGCATTGTTGAGATTGATTCTACTCAGAAGTACTGTTTGAGTGGAAGTCAGTAACAGAGCATAGAACACCAAAAGAAATGTTTATCAGCATGCTTAATTGAAGATACATCAGGTACAAGATTAGAGAAAGCTGAAGCATTGTTGATACTGAAAAATGAAAGCTAGATGGTGCTTCTTATATTTTACTTTCTTTCACCCTCTTTGTACTTAATTACATGTAGGCATCTGAATGAGAAATGTTTTGGGTCAGATACATTTTGAACATTAGGAAGGGACAACCTACATGGACACTGTGTATTAGGAAGAGTCTTTGATGACTTTTAGGACATTAGCAAAGTATTCTTAACTTATTATGTTATATGTATATACATCTACAAGATTGCCATGGTACCATGGTTAGATCATGAAAGACCCTTTTAGTAGCATGTATGACTGGAATTAATAGTTACATTCATATTTTGATACTGATCAAGTATGATCCATTGTGGCAACTGAGGGCCTTGCTGTATGTGGACTTCAACTACCCGTACTTCAGAAATTAGAAGGTTTGTGTTTATTTCCATACTGGTCCCAATAGATTATGTTTAAGGTAATATAGATCAAACTGTGCCATGTGCCTTTTATGTATACAGACATCTAATCTACCTGTAAAAAAGGTGCTTTCTTTGTGGCCATATGGCCAGCAGTTGTACTTAGAACTGATTTACCACACAAAAGGCTGTTACAGAGTTATTTTCATATTTGAAGTATGTTTTGTATGAAATATTCAACTTATGATAATGTTCATGTAGAGTTTACGTCATAAATCGTATGGCAATTTAGTTGGAATAAAACATCCCTTTGTCAAGTCATGATGTTAAATATACTACAGTTTGCCATGAAGACATTATTGTAACATTTGTATAAGGATCCACCTTTGCTCTCTTGCATTGACCAGAGCGATACCCCAGACACACTCTTTCTTAACAAGTCATAGTCTTAACATTCACCCAAATATTTACCCAAGATTCAGTTAGAACATTGTTTAAGCACCAACTCCACATGCATACCTATAAACAGCATAAGTCTGGTTAAAGTCAAAACATGACTCAAGAAACTTGCAGAATAGCCTGGAAATATTTTATTTCTGAAAGCTCAACCTTAGTTTACCTTACCAAGTCCACCTTTTAGATTTTACTGGTAAACTTGGTAAATCAGTGTCTCCACATTTTAAGGTGGTGGCTATAAGTCAGTAGAAATCACATGTTCAACATAGCCTCCACCAGGCCTTCCTAAGGTCAGGGATGGTAGAATTTGGCAAACTAAGTAACCAGGGGAGTGAGCCCATGGTAAGGGTAACATTTCCCCTACATGTTAATCTATGGTAGCCAAACTCTTCAAACTATTCTTATTTGGCTAAGTTTTAAGTAGTTCTCAGCCTGTGTAATTAGTCTGGTGGAGACTATCAAAAAAGAGCTCATTTCTCACTGTGAAATGGTTCTTTAAAAAACTCCAGGAAAAATCTGTACCAGCCTTTTTTTTACAGTCCTTTTACAATCTCCTGTCAAAACTACCCTGGGATCCAGACTACGCAGGCTTCAGTGCCCATACTATACCTGCCTCCCCTACATTACGTACACCCAGCTGAAGCCCATGGAGTCTGGCTCTCAGGGTATGTCAGAACAGGACTGACTTTGCATTGAGTTATGGCACTACAAATGTATTTCTGAATAGTGTGTAATTATTGAATACAAAAATTGTTAAACCAACTGTTAACCCGATGGGGTACAATTCCTTATCCACGATGTACATGATTGCGTTGCTATGTTATCTACATCATATTCATAACTTACAATTACGTGCAAATAGGTGTGTATAATACAGACTAGCACTAGTGCTCAGTGCATCAATTATCTTAATGTTCAGTATTGTGGATGACATTCTTGGTAACCCAAAAGGTTCTGCAAAGATGCAAATTAAAAACAAGATCAGCCTAAATTACAAAATAGATGTGTGTAAAATCTTTACACTGTGTAAAGATAAAAGTGCACAAAATGATGTAATATACATCATATTATTAACAAAGCTTCTAAAAGCACATTGGCAAAGATACATTATTTCATGGTTAAGGCAGAGAGCTTTTTGTGTTTTTTCTTCATTTCAATTCCTTGAATGATTTAAAAACCTTGGATATATTCACAATTTTGTTGAAAAGGGAAACATACAAAAATTCAAAGCTGACCGACAGCAGATTAAAAGGTATGGATTACAAAATCCTTTTAAGAGTTAAAACGTTTTGACACTTTAAGAGTGTCCATTTAGCTATTAGAGGCACTGACTTTGTTTACATACCGGCCTTCACAACCATGATTAGTTACAATGCATGACATTTTCTTTATGTTAATAAGAAATAGGAAAACTAAAACCAAATTACCCAGTTCTACTCCTGGCATTACCTAGGCCATAGCTACTAGTACTGTTATATTCAACAATGTCTGACTAATTAAGGTACTGGTATACCACAATATGTTAAAATCATCTACAGTATATACATGTAGTCAACTATGTCTATTACAGATACACGTGCCTCAAATACATGTAGTACATGTATCTAATTGTAATCATCTTTAAAAAAAACTTACCAACTTGAAAGTGGAACTCGCTGGCAGTATAAAATTTGGTCCCTTGGATAAACAATATCAAGTATACTATATTATAACGATTGCCCTTGCAAATCACTGTACAAAGAATGAGGGATGCTTAGTACTTTGTACACATGACCCAATCACCCCAACATCGGACCCTAGGAATAGTGTACTTGATCACTAGTGCCTTAGGGTTTCTTTCATCAACTCATATGAGGATGGCTCTGGGCTTCAGGCAGTTTGGACATAAATATCTACCATGTATTGTCCTAACTTCTAACTACATGTACAAGCTGCCACACCTACCCAATCCTCATTCCAAATTGGATCACCAAAGAAAAGAAATGCACTGGGATACATCTAACCCTGAATGGGTGGAAAGTAACACAGGCTAGGGAGATGCCTTTTTGACACATTTTCCATGACATTGTGTAGCCCTTATTCATCTTGCTTTAAACCCTATGTTTTGGTTAGTAATTCTTGAATACAGCTTCTGTCAGCTTGGTTTTCCCTCCTTGTGACAGCAGGATGTCGTGTGTTTGGTGAAAGTCTATCAGGTCTGGAATACTGAAGAACGTCTGGGGATACAGAATCACAGGGTTTGTGGAAGTCACATTTTCAAAGTCAGTTTTACTTCCGAAATCCATGTTTTAGATGTGAATCTGCTTGATTCTACATTTTTCCTCTTCCCTTTAGTTGTTTCAAATATCGTCCATACTCAACGGAAAATACACAGTGAGCAAACAAAGGGGTTATTTTGACATTACCAATGATATCAAGGTCAAAGAGTATTAAGAGAAAGCAGACATGGACACTACTCACATCTTCATCCTCCTTCTCAGTGCCCAGGGCGTACTGCTGGTCCGGCCGGTAACGGATCTGAACTTTCTTAATGGCTTTCTGGTAAATAAGAGCCAAAGTGTAGGGTCTAGTGGGGTCCTTTGTGCTCTTTCTGATCAGGAATGCACCATCCTATGAAGACATAAATGGTTATGTTACTTGCACATTGAATATGTATACCTTTAAGGACAATAATCTCATACCTGTGAGATTATCAAATACCAGTCATGTAAATCTACAATGCTTGTTGAAATCATTTTTCACATTATCTCCCAAATGTCTTGTATCATATGTTTGCTGTTCTTTTGATTCCTGGCCTGTCATCTAAGCCATTTAACACATTCAATTTTAAAAAAAATTTAAAACNCTGATTGTGTCCCGTGAGACGGGCCGTCTGGGGTCGATGAGTCTTGTCCAGTAATCGCCTGTCAGCACAATTTAGCCTACTGGTCAGCACTGTAACTAGGTCAGCAACATTAGACAGGCTTACTTTGGCTGGGGAAAATTATGAGGTGCGAGACTTACTTATTGAATGATTTTTTTCTGCTCTTGTCTTGTGGTAATTGTTGCGTTGTTTGTATACGTGTGCCCATGGTCATACTGAAAAGCAGTACCTAATTACTGAGAGTGATACCCTGGTAAAAGAACACAAAAATAGATAAATAAATCTAACCGTGCGAAAGTAAAGTCATTTTTGTTATACCAGAAACTATCATGCTTCCTTAATGTTGGCCAATTCTGAATCACAGTCCTTTTTCCCTTGACCGTTTAAATACATGTATGATTGTGTAATAAATCTAAAATAAAATAAAAAGAAGTGCGGAAAAATAAAACTAGGTGATTGATTCACCAGATTCCTGCAGTTTGGCTACACGTCAAACTCCTGCATCTCTAACTGGCTCTGGAACCGTGATTTGGATGCTTCAAGCACTGGACGTTACGCCACCATGTACTCAAACTTACGCTAAAATTGCACGTATAGCTGCAGTGGCCTTTGGGCGGCCGTAAACGGCTGTCTCTGCAATGTAACGACCGAGGATTTGATCCGATGACTATCGGTGCTGGAGCTTGGACATTCCATCAAAGCACACAGGATATAACACGGAGGCCATTAAGTATCCGGCAGATTGACGGTTCAGAATTCCCCCATCCACCTGGTCTGTGATTTACCTACATAGTAACGGTAAAACATGCGCGGCCCTTGGGTCATTCTGTGGCCCATTTACCAAGTGTAATTCCTCGTGATGTTGCAAACAATGGATTCTCTGACAGCCTATATTATCCACTTTTGGTAAAGTTAAGAGACCCGGAGTTTTATTCCAGAGC